TTCCTCCTAGTCCACGCCCTTTGAACTTTCTCTGTAGGTTGAAATAGTTCTTGATCGGATGGTTTTTCAAGTGGCTTTTGTCTTTCTCTTCCCTCTTCTTCTCTTCCAGGCTCCGAAGAAGGTGAAGGCACCGAAACGTCAGCCTAATAAATATTGTTGCAATCTCGGTTTAACAGCTCAAAAAGGAAACCTCAGGAGCTGCAAAGAAGCATGCCGAGATTTATAAAGAGTACATAGCCAAAGAAGATGCTTTTGCTGCGATGCAGTGCCCTCTCCCCATGCAGAGTTGATGGTTGTGTTTGCCTCCTTCATAGTTGGATCAAGCTCGAACCCATTAAATAAAACCGTTTGAAAAAGCCTTTTCCATTCCGAAAGAAAACGTCTCCAAGATTTCGAAAACCTTAAGAATTTTGGGACAAGTGCTCCGACAGATAGAGCAATTTATGGCTAACCTAACGAGCACAATCTGTCGATTGGCCTAATTTGGAAGCTGCCAAAATTTGTATTCATATGGTGCGTGCGCGGAAACGACAAGAACTTCCCTTACAATTTAATATTAATGAGCTGAAGCCAAGAAGTCTCAGGGAGACGTGTGTAGAGAGAAGTGTACCGTAAGCGCTCCTTCTCGTCGCCAAAACTATTCGTTCAAAAAAGGCTTAGTGTAAGGGTTCCTTTCCAAATGTTTCAGTAATTTCCACTTTTCAGTCACCTCCTCACGTATGTGTCTTCTTCGCCGAGCCACGTCTTGGTGAGTTGATCATGCCGTGATCATCTTCTGAATTACCGAATCTGAGTACTTACAGGACTGTATGAAGAGGTTCTCAGTGACTACAATAAAGAAAAAAGACATGTCGGCATTCAGGTCGATAATATGCCTCGAGACTGCTGTAAGCGTTCCCTCTTTCATTTTCATTCTTATTGGAGCGCATTTGTTAGAATTGCATATATCGTTCTCTTATCTATCNNCTCACCTCTTGGCCATCGACCATTTGGACTGCGCATTTCTCAAAGCTGAGCAAGTTTTTAACATCCAACCGCAGGTGGTTCTTAGCCTTAACATTTCGCCATTTTGTAAATGACCCTGAAGCAATTGTAGCCGCGAATTTTATGAATGTTGCCCGCAGTTCTCTCCCGAATGGAGGACGAGCCAGCGCGGTCGATACTTTCTCGATTATTCTCATACCCGAGCGCTTTTCGGGCATGAAGAAGAACTATTTTCGTGACAAATTCCCTTGAATGGTATTACTTTGTTTAGGCATGACATGCGGTAAATTTAACATATGCTATGATGGCGAAAACTCCAAAGGTAAAAGTACTGCTCATTAAAAATCATCATGATCATAACTTTAACTGAATAAATGAAATGCTTAGGCAAAAAAGGTGGACGTAAAGGGAACAAAGGCGGTCGTCGTAACAAGAAATCAAAGTGAGACGCCATGCAAATCCTTCTATAGCTGACATGGATGCTATTCCTGTGAATGATTATATTTTATTACTTCGATTTTTTCTATTTTTTTCATGCTATCACTATATATCGTTTCTTTATATGTATTGCTTCGTGTGAAGTCTATTTTATTTGATTCTTCTCTTTTTTTTGGATTTTTCTGGACAGAGTTTATTGCCTATTTTATCAAACACCAAGGGGCAAAATCGTTGGTGGTTAATAGTTTTTTTATTGCTTTTGGTATATATCATTGTTTTGTTTGTAGTGCTTCGTGTGAATTTTATTTCATTTAATTTTCCTATTGTTTTTTTTGTTTTCCTGGATAGAGTTCGTTGCATATTTTATCTGATGCCAAAGCCAAGAAGGGATGGTCGTTATAGGAAATCGAAGTAAAGTTTTGGTGTGTCACCCTCGGGTGATTGAGTGACTTCGATGTTATTCTTGTGAATGATTATATTATATCGTTTCCGTTCTTTCCATTTAGTTTTTTCTCATATCTACGAGTACATACCATCTCTCGGTCACTTTCCAGTCGGTTCTTTTTCCTCATTTTTACGAGTATGTATCATCTCTATTCATGGTGCTATTCACGGTGATTGATGGTGATTTCTCTGGATTTTGGTGTCATTGATCTTCCATTTTTTAATTCCCAGGCAAAGATTATTTGAAATTCTATCGAACGCCGTCGTAACGGTTATTTGAAAATGAGGCGTCAGCGTATCACCTAGAGGGTGATATCAATCTTGTCGTGTTAACGATTTTTTAAAAATTATTTTGCTTTTGATTCTCCTGATTTGCATCAGTTGCATTTTGTGAAGAAATTATTGTTCTTCTCTTTTTCTTGTGGCCTAGTGCTTCAGCCCATGTTGCACCAGTAATAAAGCGTTCTTGTATGAAAAAAGAGGCTCAGCACAATTTCTAATTGCTCACCCGTGACTACTAAATCTGTTTTGATACTGGACACTACAACATTAGTGAAAACAGTAGGATTCCTCAGCAAACTCATGCATCAGTTACACATCGTCCACTGGACACTCACTTGGCTTATTGCCGGGGTCCGATCTACAGGCTCACTGTCTTCATAATAAAATGATTAAATCTACCAGTGATCTCTGAAGAGGTTTTGGTTTCCACTGTATGTCATGATCTCTGGTTTCCTGGTTTCCCCTTCCTCCCATTCTTTTCTTGACTGAATTTCTTGTGCTTATCTTTCTCAGTTTAACTACATCTTTCGACAACATTCTGTCCCCGAATTCCTGTTGGCAGCTCTCCTCTAGTTAGAAGTTAAGTAGTGGTAAAATCGGCACGACTATCGTCCCATTCATGAAGTGAGGGCTATGATATTGAAGGAGAACGTCCGCTGCGCGTGTCCGTCGAAAGTAGGTCACCCCGCCCACTTCGCGCGCGGCGCATCACACTGAGGTCTCGAGATGACAATACAGTACCACCAAGTGTCATTGGAGCAAATGATTTGCATTTGTCTGTGTTATCTTCTTCTTGAACTGACTGCCGTGGACCAAACGCAAAGCGTATGCCCTAGTGACAATTGCGACGTCTGTCAAATATCGCGGGCCGACTCGCCGCGTGCGACGGCTGCGGCGTGACCTAATTTCGACGGAAACGCGCAACGAAGCGCACCCGATATTGAAACTGGGAAAGCTATTTCACCAACAACTGGTAAAAAGTGTTTCGTCCCGATTAGTGATGGATGACAGAAGGGAGATGAACGAATCGAACTGACAGGTCGCAAAGGTTCAGTGTGTTCTTCTATAGCAGTAAGACATTTGTAGGACTCAAATGGTATACTAATAACCTTCCAACATTACCATCTATATGCTAGATGGAGATTCAGCGATTCGATTGGAGCGAAAGCGCTGCGGTGGACTCGATGCTGGGAGCCAAATAGTCAAATAGTTTTTGTTGACTCCTGAACTGGAAAATGGTAACTTTTCGAACTAGTAATACTGATGACAACTCTATTTCTCACTTTATTTCGCTATTTATCTAATCGTTTCGGGCTCTTCACCTCCAACTTGGTTAATGAGGGTGTGTTGGAAGTTTAATGATCTTTCAGTCTTCGCACGTGATCAGCGTAGCATCGTACTTACAATTAGGTCACGTAATTACAATAAACCTGATAGCTAGCTGTTACTAGAGAGGCTGATGGTCTGGACGAGTTTTATGAGCTTATTAGTAATCGAGGCATATACGTCCAAAGGTTATATGGCTGTGAAGGGGCGCACCAAACGCTACGCACCCTACCATTTGCTAAATTCCAAGCCTGACTATTCGAATTGACGTCCAGACAGATGCAAGTGCAGAACACCCATTCCGCTCGAGTGGACATGACTGCACGCTTGAGTAGCAGTGTTGAGGCGTATATGGTTCGGTTGCAAGCGCGCATAGCGTGACATCGCGCAAGCGGCGAAAGTGCCGCGAGACGGCAATGGAGAGCGACAGATTCCGGACGCTTTGTGGATGTAGGATCCCGAACTACTACCGGTTTAGATGTAATATTTATTCTTGATAGTTGAAGGTTTTACTGACTATTACAGTATAGACAAGTACACAATATATCGCTAAGAAAGATATTCTAACTTTGCGTATCGAATATGTACAATTATGTTTGTCAAATAGGATGCCAACAAATCGCAACGAACTTATTTATAAAACACAATCCATTATCGAGATAGTTCACAACTTTGAATTCAGGGCCCATGTGTTGAATCTGCTATAGGACTACCTATTTTTGTTCACAAAATATTATCCGTTATCGACTTAGAAGCGAGATACTGAAGTCAAGAAAATCTTCGCCGGAGCAATTTGTCTTTTAGGCTTCTCAGAGAGCGCAATATGAACCCCACTTGTTTCAGTCCAGGCAAATAAGGTTGATCGCCGCGACCCATCGTAAATGCGAAGGTCTTGCTGGACATCAGGGCGGGACTATCTGGCCACGCCCACACGCTTGACTCATCACGCCCTCAGAAGTACGTTTAGCTCTTTTACGCATTATTGGACCTGATGACACCCAAATAGCACCACATCAGGATTTAACTCAATAAAAAACTTGTAATCATTGCAGAACTCTTGGAATACGATAAACATGTCACAATGGGCAACGAGACTAAAAAAAATGTCACGATTCTCTATTAAAACATCGAACAATAAGGATGAATGAAAGAAACCGAAGTGTTCTGGCACACGAGATGACTAGACGTACGAGGAAAAGTAATACTCAAGAGACCGATTAAATGTTAACACATACATAGTATATACACAGTATAAAAATGAATGATACATAAGTAAAAAGTAAAATGTCTATAATAAACTAATTACAAGCGTTCTTCTCCCTCCAATCGCATTAGTTCATCATAGTATTGATCGACGTCTTGCCATTGAGGAGGTGTGTTCGGATCGATATCGATACTGTCACAATGGAATTCTTCGAATTGACTAGCGAATGGTACCACTGGAAGGGCTGAAATGAAACCATTCGTTTTATTTCTGAAACAGCTCGGGTTTCCAAATTCTCTCAGTAATTATGCCCAACCATGAAAGGTGGTGGACCCGTGAGCGGAAATTCATAACATAAAAGCAACAATCACGATAAAAATGGTTTCTGACAATGAGATCTCTTCCTAGGATGAAGCTGTGGCCATTAAGGATAGCACAGGAGGCGTTTAAGGGTCGAAAAATGTATACAGGGCGTTGTAGGGGCCTCAAAATCGGCTCAGCCGACGTTCACACAAAAGGCAGACGAGTTCTTACGACCTTGTGGATACTGTGAAGGTTCCAGCATTCGCGTCGGGACGCACGCTTTGCAAGCAGGCAGGTTGAACCGTTCTATGCATAGGCACAACCACCACCAGGCACACACATTTCGATAGCTTTTCCAAATATCAATTCCATCCAACCTTTGTCGTCCATTCTCGTCCAACCTCTGATTTCGCTACTTTTTCGAAGCAATATATTTTTCTAAATACGCTGATCGTCGCGCTTCTTCCGCCATTTTTCAATTATTCTGGGCAACCACTTCCTGATCAGTGCCTCCAAATGGTCCGTAAACGGGTCCCTATGCCATTCAAGCCTATCATCTCTCCGAAACCAATCGGCTTGCGCTGCTCGAGCTGTTGAGAGTGCTGACTGTAAGAACTACCCAATTAATACACTATTATAAGAATAATATGCACTAGTGACTGGCTACGACCCTGGATGGAAGTCGAAGGTCTCATTATTGAAGGATTCGATTGGAAGACTACATTTACAGCCCATGCGACAGCAGCGTTCACAACAAAATCCAATAACCGGATGGTATTTATTGATTACTTAGTTCAAGAGCGGTGACTTTAAAGTAATAGTAATCGTTAGGAAACACTCTTTTTTGGAAATCTCTTCCTTCATACCTTCGAGATCGTAAGACGAGAAATCACTCTGCCAGGTGTACTCAGACGAAATGCCTTGATCGTCAGACGAGAACCCTACTTCAGAGAATGACGACTCAGAAAGATCCATTTGTACTGACGAACCGGTTGGTGAGTTATTTTCATCTGAAATCATTCATGACAGGATGTTCCCATGCTCAGCACTCAAAATCAAAACTTACAATTCAAAAGCACTTGATCATCCCATACAGCGGAACCGGCTTCGTCGAATAAGGAGATGTCTGAAAATTTCCACTTTACTGAACGAAATTCACTGGAGCAGTCAGGACCCAATTCTCCAATCAAATCAAAACAGTAACAAGCAGTAGAATCACCTTGAGGAGCAACTGGTTTTTGTTGCTTTCGAATTGAATCCATGTACTGTAGTACAGCTGTATTGATCCGGGAAGCTGGCTTTACAGGACATTCAACAGTCGTTTCCGGTGGGCATTTCGTTCTAACTTTTTTAGTTGGAACACTTGTCGGAAGAGCACTGAACAGTTTTAATATAAATAGAATATAGTACAAAATAGTCAGGAAGCCTCCTCTAGATAAAAGTAATTGAGCTACCTGACATCATTCAGCGTCCAGTATGAACCTTTCCCTTTTTCACCATTTTGTCGAGGAATTCGCTTGAACAGCTGATTACACGATAAATTATGGCGAATCGAGTTCTGTAATGAGCCTTTGAAATAAGAACTTTTGCTTCTTTCAGTGTATGTATACCACTACTTTCCCTACAACAAGTTTTGGATACAATGAACAGCTCCGAAAATGGAGCATCTTGTTAGTGGAATCCCAATGTCTTGGCAACGAATCCCGGATTATATCCGCCCAGGACAAGCTAGTCTTCTGTACCTCTGAGGCCAATTCTTTGGTACCGGACACATCTAGTACCAGCGAACGATCACTGATTAAGATCATCAAACTAAAAACCAAACGCGTATCAAATCGCCACTATACATATCTGTACAGAAGTCGATTACAGGGCGCATCCCAGAATGAGATTAATCAACACCAAAGACTTCATACTTTTTATGTATGATTGTGGATAATTTGTATTGTAGATGCACCATTTGGTTACACATCACTCACAAACAGTCGAATAATGAAAACTTGTTCCCATTGATGCGTTCACCCGTGAGAAAAGCTAGAGATCGGTCTGAATCAGGCTACAACTAGACAAATCCAAACTGAGTCAGTCAGATAATTGAAAGGAAGCTCAATTAGTATTTTGATGTAACGTTAGTGATTGTTATTGCAACGTAGACTCTATAACAGATAGCTATTTTGCCCGATCAATAGTGATATATAATCGATTTGGGTCACGATTGAAAAGTGATCTTTAATAAGCTCTCCTTGCAGTACAGCGAACGTACGTAGATTAGCATGACGTACATCTGGTGGGGTGGGGTGAGAACTTGGAACTGGGTTATTAATGGATTCCGACAGGACACGATCTAGAACGATGATATTGATCGATACTGTAATCAATCTTCTACCGTACGCACGGCACTGAGCTGTAAATTGAAGGTGTAATTAAGTGATTCTCCCAATTATCGCAAGCTAAAGGGATATTAAATAGCAATAATCTCTTCCGATTTCGGACCTCTCACAGTGAATTTTCTCGTTTCTGCAGGGCTCTGGTTTTGTACCACTGAACATGAACGAGGAATATCATTATGCACCCATTATTACTTCCTGTTATCTCTTCATTATGGAGGGCGGTGTGCATGTCTAAGGCGTGTGGGCGTTTCAACTGAAGGATCCATGTTTTCTTGGGGTTGACCAGCTCCCTTACAGATACTCATCCCCTTCTAGAATTACCCTAAAATTCCATAGATAAGAGCGGTTGACACTACCGGTGAAAAATGAATTGGAATGACATTGAAATTGAATGCAGTCACCCTCTAACTTGGTGGATGGATAAATTAAACTTCGAAGAAGAAATTAAGAAGAAGCCCCGCCCCTTAACTCCAAACCCCGCCCACTTAATAAACAATTCATATAGAAAAATAGC